ATATATTGCTGTATACATATATATAATATAGTAAATATAGTGATTTAATAATTAAAAATATGTTAATATACTTGATACAAAAAGTTACCTTTTTTTCATCAGTTATGCGAATATATAATGCAAAGATTCTGATTATGGATGCTGTTTATGATATAAAAATTTAAAAAATCTCTGTAAAATATATTTTTTGAAAAATATGTTTCAAATAAAGAGGATTATAAAAGATTCGTTATTATGGGAACAATAAAATAAGATGTTAATATAATTGATATTATAATAATAATAAAATCAAATATTAAAATAACAAAGTTTATACAATGTACACAATTAATTTAATTTGGTTTGTATGACATACATAAATAATTTAAATTCGTTTGTGTGTGTGTGTGTAATAATATTGCAAATATAATTATAATAAGTAAATTGAAGATCTTTATTAATATATATTGATAATATATTAAATATAAATAGAATGGCGCATATTATTTATACTTTTTTTTTGCTATTGTTGATTATAATGCTGATAATATAAATATTTTTTTCTTGTAGAATTTGAAAGTTAATAATAATTATTTAATTAATGATAATTATTCTTTATAATGATTCTCTTCTTTCAGTATAATAGTAATCTCTTTTTTAAAATCCTTTATCACTGTCTACAGAAATAATATATTATAAATCTTTTATTGTAAATTTATAACATATTTTTTTTCTTTTTTAAATATTAATATAATTTATATAATATTTTCAGCATGATTAAATTATTCATTGATTGTACATTTTATCATTAGCGCATTTATGTGCTAATCATGTAACAAGATTCGCAATTTTTATTGTAAGGTGCGTCTGTAGTTTTAATTATTGTAAAAATATATCGATAAAATATATAATTATCCTGCGCGCATCCGACATGTATCATTTTCTTTGTAAGTTTACGACTTCAATGAATGCAGTTACATCCAATTTGCAATGTCCTGCTTTCTGAAATAACAAAAAAGTAAAATGTATGTATTTATATATATATAATGTTGCAAACAAAATTGGAAATTAATTGTCATTGAAATCCTATTATTAATCATTAATATTTATGTTTTAATATATATATGTAGTAAATGAGAGCGAGCACATAAATATTATAAGATTCTATAATAGACTTTTGACTTTTATATAAATTATTTCTGTTGAATTTTTTTTTTATATTTAGTTACTCTTTTATACATATATATAGATACAACATTTGATTATTTATTATTATTAATCGGTCAAACTTCAAAATTACCTATCGCTTTTGAAATATTATTATTAAATAATTGTAGTATATCTACCATGTACAGTGGTGGTTCAGTAGGATGGGGGTGAAATCCTGTTTGTCGGCAATTTGCAATAAAATCCAAGCCATAATCCGGCGTTAACATAAAGAATCCTGTTCTGTAAAGAATCACGTTCATAATATAAATTACAAAAAATCATTTCTATTTTATATTTTTTTATTTCATAATTATTATATATTTTTTATTTTTCCTGTTTATTTTTTTATTTATTTCTGTTTACATACTCGTCGTACTTGGGTGCACAGACTATCGCTATCGCCTCGGCCATCATAAGCTGATAAGCGCAGTGTGTGTGCAGATCCACACTTGATAAAAATGCAGTTTGTGTGGGATGTGTCTGTAATATATAATACATACAATATAATTACAGTTGCAGACTGCTCAGGAGAGGGTGACGTGGAAAGGAATGGAAGAGGTCTATGTCCAGGAGTGGATGTCTAGAGGCTAAAGAAGAAGAAGAAGAATTACAGTTATAAAATATATATAACATAAGAAAAATTTCTTGCAACATTTCTCTAGCAATCCTTTTGAAGAGAATTAGAAATAAATAAGTAAAAATTACATACGTGAATCCAGCCAAGGGTGATAAGGTTGTGCTGGTCCTGATAATCAAAGATATCCTCTTCATTGTGAGTGGTGCAGGAATCCGGAGTGCCAGTTTGTTCTGGAATCAGTAGATGTGTCACCAACAATTTATTTCGTTCCAATCTGCCAGCCAGAATACCACATGTTTCTTTATTGCTCATCGTGTTGCTAAAGGCGAGCGTTAGAAAGTCGTGCATTAATTTAGTTGGCAGGATAACATCGCGCAAGGATAATCCATCGCTCGTCAATAAGGAAGGTTTTGTAGAACGATCCACCGTCGGCCTTTTTCTAAATAAAATATCATACATGTGGCAAAAAACATGCACATTAAGTATGACAAACTATTTATTTAATATTTTGTATTTTATTTATCCTTATCTTTTTTTAAAACTATAAAACTAATAATATGAAATCTCTCTTATGATTAAGACTTATAAATATCATAAAAATGTAATAAATTTTTTATGATAATATCATTATAATCAACAAAACTTACATGTCCTTGAGTGCTTTATCATTTCTCATAGGGCTTCCATTCTTGGATGTCACAGAGGGCAATTCCTTCATCTCCTTTGGCACGACATCTGGCATATTTACACTGGTAGCAGCTTTCGCTGTTCTAACAGCAGCCGAAGCGGCCATTTTATTTCTTCTTTCTTCTTCTTCTTTTCGTCTGTGAAAAAATATTTATTAATATTTAATTCCTTATAATAAACATTGGAAAAATAAAATATAAAATAAATAAGTTATTTATATGAATTACATCATTAACAACATATAATATATTGAAACATCTAATAAAATAAATTAGAAAAATTAAAGTTATTTTTTTTTATATAAGAAATTATATTTTATAGAAA